GGGCCCCTGGATGCGTAAGATCCAGGCAGCAACCTCTGGGTCTAAAAAAATGAAGCTAATGCTGAAGTGCCTTGAGCTTGCATTCTTTTCACACCCATTCATACACTGATGACAGGAGTTACCATGCAAGGGGCCACCTTACCATCAGGACTCTAACTAACATTCATACAACATTCACACACCGCAGGCACAGCTACGGGAGCACCTTGGGGTTAAGCGTCTTGCATATCGGCATGGACTAGCGGAGCCGGGGATTGAACCGCCGATCCTCTGATTGAAGGACGACCCTGCTCTGCCCCTGAGCAACAAAATGGGATGCTTAAAAGTTTAGCAGGCTGATTGTTCTACCTGTTTTTTTCTTGTTTTTTTAATCTAATGTGTTTTATTGTGATGTTTGGTCTAGATACAACAATAGGATACAATAAAGTTACCTTAGAGGTGCTAAATTCAAAATTCAGAGCCTTTCTATTGCCCCCACACGGCTCTCAGCATGGAGACGGCTGAGCTGTCAGCAACTAACAGTGCACGGGTGCCTTGTGCCTCAGTATCAGACGGCGAGAGAGGCTGATGTAAAATAACCGCAGAACCCCCCCGTGTTTATGTGCATCAAACGTGTCATTCTGATTAATTATTCTACACAGTTCCTTCTCAACATCAACAGGTGTGTAGGCCAAATTGTGAATGACTGAATACTTCTCACTCCGCTTTTAAGTCTGTCAGGACTACCGTCCATGCCGGTCTTTCACCCGGAGTTTTCTGTGGTGAGCAACATGATGTGATAGAGACAACAATAAGTTTCCTCTGAGGAGATATCTCTACAGGCTTCCCAAACTGTCAGTGCGTCATGCCCCTGTGATTATAGGGGGTGAATTTTGTGAGTGTGACAGCCATAATTGTCATAGACAAAGATAATGTGTTCTTTCTGATACTACCCTGAGCCCAAGTGTGCCACAGGTGTGCAAAGTTAGCAAACTTGATGAAAACACCGATGGTGTGTGCATATTAGTGCATACGTATGTGTGTGCCTGCATGAACACTTACAGGAAAAATATAGTTCCCCTACATTACTACTTTATATTTACATCACAAATAGTTGTTTGCTGCTATATAAATGTTCTGAATATTGTATAAATAACCTTTAACTTAACTTAAAACTACTTCAGACTTAACTGATCTATGTTTTGTTAATTTGTTCAGTTAATTTGTGGCATTCGCCTATGATGAAGCAAGTATGCTGTTGTCAGTATCAGTAGAGGTGATTTAATTAGATTGTAGGCTACACAGTCGTATTAACACATTGAGGATGAACAAGGAAAAACAGAAATTAAATAAACGGGTACACGAATAGAGAAACTGAAAACAGGTTCTCTAGGCATGGTAGTGTGGTCTTGCTGGCTTCCTGTTTGCTATGTGCATGCAGTGCTTCTCAGTAATCTCTCAGTAAGTTTTGTTTTCTTGTGAACCTACTGCTTTTGTGGTTGTGCTGGTTATAAATAGAAGGGCGCTCGACTGTGTGGAGTTAGCCGTTATAAGGACTGGGTAAAAGGACAATGGGGCAGCGGAAATCTCCACAAGGAGCAGACTTCGACTCAAAACTCCGATTTGGTGGCACTTGTTCAGTTCCTGCAAGCAGCTGCGTACCCTGTTTACACTCGACCGACTCCGCCCATATGGATTTCGGTGTACGCTGGTTTAAATGAAAAGCAAACCCTGTGTGAGGTATGGAGGACAGAATATGACTTACGTATAAATACATAAATAAATAAATGCATTAATAAATGTATAAATAAATACAGGAATAAATAAATCAATGCTTAAAAAAACGTTTGAATACAGAAATAAATGAATAAAACAATACTTAAAAGCTTACATCAATGCTGAAATAAATAAATGCTGAAATAAATAAATGCTGAAATAAATAAATAAAAATATAAATAAATGCTGAAATAAATACAGAAATATTTAAATGCTGAAATAAATGCAGAAATAAATAAACAAAAGAATAATTAAATGCTGAAATAAATAAATAAATATGGAAATAAATAAATGTATAGATAAATAAATAAAAGTTGATAATCAAACAGGACATAAAGAAATACATATATATATTTTTATATTTATTTTTATTTCATCATTTAAATATTTCTGTATTTATTTCAGCATTTACTTATTCTATTATTTATTAATTTCTGTATTTATACATTTATTTATGCATTTATCTATTTATTCCTGTATTTATTTATACATTTATTAATGCATTTATTAATTTATTTGTTTATACTTAAGACATTTTTCGTCCTCCACAGTGTGATGTGGCACTCCTGTGTATAAATGGGTAATGTAGTCATTTAGTCTGAATTGAGACACGACTACCTCTCGTACAAACTACAACACCCATAGTTCCTAGCTTACACGCGATTTCTGTTGACATCTGCCGGTAGGCTAGTCACACGCGCCTCACAGTTCATTCTACAAGGCGCTTCGGAAGGTAGTTAGCCATCGAAATATTTAGTTTTACATTGCCTAATATACTGCTAATGAGTCGCAATTCGTTTGATATGGACAGTTATTCATTGTGCTAAAGCTAAAGCTACAGTAATACGACTGTGGACGTGGCAACCAGGCTGACGAGCTAACATTAGCTAGCAACACAGACTCTTACACAACGTAATGTGAAAAGTTAGAAACGTGGCGTAAGAAAACGAGTCGTTTTTGCATCACTAACAGACTGAACACATTGACAGCATATGACAGCATATTGACCTGCCCGGAGAGAATGACATGGGATTGTTAAAAACAGCTCGCACGTCACATCATTGTTAATAGCTAAATAACATTAACATTTTAGCGTTGTGTTTTTGAAGAAGATTTCGGGTTTTGGACGAATCGTACAAAATATTACCAAGCAGTGTCTGTTTCCTAACATCTTCACGTTTATTACACATATCCCATTTACGCTCTAGCCTACACAATGGCACTTACTTGTAGATAAAGTTGCAGCTATTACTGTCGGATATTTAACTGCTGGTGTCTTTTGGGGGTTCATTGTATGCCGAATACACTAAAACAGCCCAACGATTCGTGCCATTTTTTAATAATCTCCTACTTTATGGGTGTGCTTTTAGTTTAGAAAGGCAACTTTAAACCGACGGCTTTTCTGTATAGAGTACAGCTATTAATAGGTTATGTCATGTAGAAACCATACTGCCGAGAAAGTTCAGGTCAATATGTGTTCTGTCCGTCTGTCTGCCATAGAAGTAAGCTGGGGAACCAGAGAACACCAGAGAACAATGTCTCCTCCGCGGCTCACAGGTGCTCTGCGCTCCTTCTCCAATGTGAGCAAGAAGGAGGCCATTACTGAGCAGCTCTATGATCTGAAGGTGAGGCCAGCTAGTGGATGATTGGATGTTAGTATTGCTACAATAGAACGTTGAACTCTTTTCAGTAGTGTTGTATGGCATCATGTTAAGCAGTTTCACAGCGTTCGGTTCCACCACTTAATAGCCAATGGATGTGATGCTGAAATTGACTTTTATTTTCTTGCAAAAAACCTCATCATTGCAGTGTCAGGCAATGGCCACAGTTGAGATTTCTAGGGCAGAAAGTGGTATGATAAAATGTCAGTTGACATATATGCCATACCATATATGTTGTCATGCTATCTACCAACCCTATGCTGAAGTAAATCTATTGTTTATAGTTCAAACCCCGGCTCCTTCCTCACCTTCACACAGTGGACGAGTCCCGGTGTGATCGTTGGTAGAGAAATGGTCAGACACACTGATGTGGGCGTTCTGAAGCTATTCAAGCATCGGAGTAGCACGTCTGAGGAGGGTTGGAACATTTCCAAGGGAATTGTTGCTCAATTTCAATACGACAACCGTACCTTTTTAATAGTTACTTTGGAGGAAAATACACATAAAAAGCACTACTAGGTCTGATGGCATGTCTTGTTTATGAGTATGGACATGTAATTGAGTTGTAACCTGCACAGCATTCAGCAGCACTATTCCATCACGGGTCAGATCATTGGCCAGCATCCCATTAAATATAGTTTGGTAAAATGAGCCAGAAGACTACATGCTTTCAGGAAAGTTTTGATTATATTACTGGAGTGAATGAATTGATGAAATAACTGGGCTGAATTTATTCCAAATGTTTTGTGATATTTCAGTGAACCAGCAGATGTTAGCCTAAAGCAAAGCACGCCGTTCATAATAAACACTTTCTGCTTGTTTCTGCCAGCTAGCTGTGACCACCTGATTGAGCTCATTTAGGAGTTTTTATTGATCCGTTTCCATTTGTTCATTATTGTAAAACATTTAGTTTATATATGAGTTGGAACACTTTAAGCCCTTAAGTCTGCACACAGCCCACATTGTTTTATCTACCTTTTCAAAGTACCCTTTCTCATGAGTTAATTTGCTTGCTTACATGAACCTTATTCTGTTTATGATATTGTAAAACATGTGTTTCTATCTGCATATGACATGGTTAATACAGCCTGAGCAAATAACACCTATATTTCCATCTTATTCCTGTTATTTTCTGTTAATTCACATGATTTCCTCACAAATTCTTGTTAATTCCCACAGAAAGTTTCCACGTTGAATTTTGAAACTATCTCTGACCGAGTGCACTGTCCCCTCGAGCCCCTAGTGATGGCCCAGTAGAACCCACCACTGTGTGTGTGTGTGTGTGTGTGTGTGTTCATGGTAATAACAGAACATGCCACCCAGTGTAACAGTGTGTTTTAAATAGTTTTTGGCCAACAATGGCACAGAGGAATGCGATATATCAGGGTTTGCATACACACACAATACTTGTTCATACTTTCATTGTTGGTTGTCATGGCATTTGCTTACAATAGTAAAAACTATTGCTGGCATTATCCTTAAACATTCTGTTCCATCCATGCAATGTTTAAAGCGATAGACATGCAGGATGTGATGTCCACACAGATCCATTAGCTAACTGCTGTAGAGGAACCCAGCAGAGAGACCGTGATGGGGCTTCTGCTGTGACGACGTGTTGGCCAGTACTGATACATAAATGAACACTGTATACCTTGGATTGCTGTGGCACCACATCTGAATGGTACAGAAACATATACAGGCTGTAAATTTTGTGTATTTGCTGATGCTAGCTAAAATCATGTTATCCACAACCAGCAGAGTAGTACTAGTACTGTAGTAGTAGTAAACAGTTGAGTAATTGGTGACACCTCTAACTGAAGCTGAGATAACCGTAATGACATCATTTCTGAGACCTACGAAGCCACAGCAGACAATATACAGCTTAATTCACAGAATCAGTAGTATCACTAGTAGACTGACTTGTACGTGTAATGACGGCCCTTTGATTGTATGACCAAATCCCTAAAAGCTTAATCATTAAGATCCATCTTGGTACAAGTCAGTTGAATCCCCACACCATATATTCTACCAGAGTAAGAAACGTGTGCTGCTCTGACGCTCACTGGAGGCTTCTATCTGTGGCAGCTTGTTTTTCTTCCAACACTGTCAGCAAGCAAGTAATGTGATTTAGCATGTTACATTTTTATCTTTGATGACACAGCTTGTGTACTGTATGGCTCTTCTCCATCTCCCCTTTTTCCCTCCAAAGGAAAAACATCCAAAGTTTTCACTTTGGATGGAATATCACAGACGTAGACTCTGCTCCAGATTTAGTTTTACTTTAAGATTGAATTCCAACATCCCCTGTGAGAAACAGTGTCTGTAGTCCCAGTGCATGTGAGTCCACTGTGAGAGAGAGACGTTTAGTACGTACAGCTGTGGAGGAGGAGACACAATGTCACAATCATTTATATGTGATAACCTGCTGGAAAGAGCTCAGCATGTAGGAGAATGGCACTATTCATGACACTGTCATCTGTCGGCTCTCTAGAGAGCTACATGACACACAGAATGGCACCTACTAGCAGTATTAACACTGTCCCTCTCTACACACGTGAGCAATGAGCATCCACAGCACAGAGCACCGTACAGGCTACGTATTCATCACACAGTGCTGTCACTATGTTTTCTATATTACTGCACATGGCTACCTTTTCATCAATTGACACAAGCAGTCACATCAATCTGAACTCCCTTTTCATTTAGAAAGCGCTTTCAAAATCAGACTATAACAGTTTTCAGTATACAAAACTCTATCTTTTCAATACCAGTATCTGTGTGAGCCACCTCGAAAGGCTACATACATATTACAAAAATATAACATAACACCTTCTGCAGTGCAATACAAGTGTGCTGTTATCTACAAAGATAAGGTATTCACATAGCAGCTCTAAGACAGGATAGTGAATGCCTATGACATGAGTTAGTGGACTAGTTAGTTACTTTAGCTCTTCTACTCTACTTAGTTGAAGTCACTGCACCTCCCAACAGAACACCAAGGTTGAATATCAGACTGCATACATTTTCTTTCAGCCCATCGTTGTTGACCATGAAGCATCTAATACTAGTACGAGAGCAACGAGTTAGCGGACTGCTGAGTGTTTGGATGTCGTCTGTCTGCTCCGCACACACACACAGTGACTATGAAATCCGCCAATCATTATCCCATCTTTTTACAGTCAAAATGTCTTTTTACTCCATTTTAGTCATTTGTTTGTTCCATGAGTCGCCTCTTTCTGGGACTTCAAAGAAATTGGGAGCAGTATTCAGCCATTCACTTTTACATGGCTCCCCTCCAGTTAAATCTTCTCAGCACAAAAGGTGCTTCTCCAGGGAAAAGATGGCTGAAGTGAGAGATTCTCTCTGTTTGTGTTAAAATGCTTCGTTTTGGAAGACATGGAGATGCGGATTGTGATGGAGTCATTGTGTTAATGCTTCCCCTGACCTCAGAGTCACACCTGCTCAGATTTAATACTCCACTGCTCTGATGGCAGAAGCTTAAAAAATAAGTTATTCTAATTAACACTGACTTTTCTACAGAACTACTGAGCATGCATATGTAAAAAGTACATCATCAAAAATAGCCTCATTCTGTATCTGTATCAGAGTTGTTGTGATACCGGTACCAGTATCTGAAATGCCTCTGAGAAAGGATCGGGTATCAGTGAGTACCGATCTGACATCACGTTCTCATAGAATTTATCAGCTCATTTAAGCTATATAGGAACAACAACAACACATGAACAGTATGTCGTTGAGATATTACAAATAATAGATCTACAGAATCTGTGCAGCAGGAGCACTTTCTCAATGAAGCGCTTTTCTGTCGGAGAAAAACGCTATATGGACAAAAGCCCGAAGCATTTCTGGAGAAATTGTTTATTGAGATGTAAACCCAGAATCATAACTGCGGTGATACTAGCTAATCATCTCTGCTTTGGAGTTGTTTGCATTAAATCAATACAGTAACAGAAATCCTGTGAGCCCAACTACAATTCCTTGGAGCCCCTAATGATTCAGTCCCATCAGGGTGTCTCTGGGTTCTGTTGTGATGAATCCTGCTCAAAATGATTCTATAGGGCCATATTAGGAGCACTCCACCAATTTTGCACATTAAGGTGAGTGTACTTGTCTCCTCTGTGTCTCTGGAGGACCTTTGTATAACAAAGCAACAGAGGTGTAGATTTCGAAGTACTTCAGTGTTAACCAGGCATTGATTGTCTTACCGAAAAAATGCTATTGACTTGCTCTCTGGAAAAGCATCTATTGTTTTTGAAGCTTCCGTTTGAGTTATGTAAAGTACAAGTTGAAAATTGTTGTTATAAATGCAATGAATTAATTGGGGCACCAAAGTAAAAAGCATGGTATGGTTCTTTGGTGTGATCATAGTTATGTATAAGAATCATTTTGGGTTGAATACATGGCACAGGAAGCATTTGACATGAAATATGTAAGATGAACTTCATACCTCAGTGTCTGACCACGCTGACAGCACCACATCCTGCAATGGCAAAATATCTGCACAGTACATTGGGAAAGTGTTGGGCTACATGAGTCTTATCCAAGGTTATGTGAGCAATAAGAAATGCTCTCCTCCTGTCTGTTGCTCTAGACCAAACGACTGAAGAGACGGGAGCTGTTTGCCAGAGAAGGTCTAACATGGAAGAAGATTTTCCATTTGTGCTCCGAGCATCAGGACAAAGCTGACCAGCAAGCTGCCAGTCAGGAGCTGAAGAGCCTCCTTCTGGCAGCCAAGGAAATAGGTAATGAATCCATTTTTATTTTTCTCAATCTGTTTTTATGTGTTTGTGTTTCACTGATGAAAAAACCCAGTTACGCTTAACAGACTGCCGTTTTCTGTTTTTAGACTGCTTTTCTAAATGTGATACACTTAGCAGCTGCTGAAATGATCTGTTAGTGTTTTGTGCCTTTGGTACATCAGAGTTAGAAATGTCTGTGAATTCAAAAGGAAGAGCTTTTTTGTCTGGCTTTAATAAATTGTCCAACATTTTTGTGGTGCTCACAGATTTAAAAAAAATGGCATGTGAAAACTTCAGCCAAAGGCTCCTTTTAAAGCCTTAAATGGTCTTGGAAATATAATCAAGGAAGTTATGGTTATAAATTCATTTCAATTGACTGTAAAATTAATAACAAGTAATATATGTACACATAAGAAATGAAGATGTATAAGATCGCACAACATGAAGACATGAGATCCAATGATTGTGGTTTCCTTGGCTGATCCAGATCTTTTAATAGTCTGACCAGCAGATTCCGATTTTCTACCTCATAGATACAGTTAGCAGCAAGGGTCTAAACAAACCTTTTTTTACCACAGTCTCGGAAGTATCACGCCAAAAACTACATCTGACAACATTACATTTGGACCCATTTTTAAGCCCTTTTTACTGAGTAGAGCTTGAACCCATATAATGCAAGTCAGTGCGACCTGTGCTAACATTAGCTGTTAGCTCCGTTATCAGCAAGACTGTGGGAGAGACCCCAGGCTGGTGGTAAACCAGCCGGTTGCTCTGATTTGTCTGAGGAGCAGCATGCATGGGAATGAGAAGTGTCTGATTATGTTTGTTGTTCCAAATGTTTTACGGTTGTTCCTCCACGGCTTATTTTGGACTTACAGCTGTGACAAACTGTGTTTATGTCTTCACTCACTGACACATGTGGTGTGTGTGGCTGCGACGTAACTGTCTGTGCTGCTGTGGCATGTGGTATGCGGTAGAAAGTACGTGTTTTTCACAGTTTGGGCCCACTGACCCTTTAAGCCAAATAGTTAAACCACAACATGTATGTTTAAGTATTTTGGTGTGAAGAGCTTTTTTCTTGATCATCATTGGATCATTGGACAATATTGATTAATTTACCTTTGATCTGACTTTCAGATATGTAATTGAGGTAATTGTGGTAAAACGACCTCATCTGCTCATTTTATAATCCCCAAGCCGTGTCTAGCAAGGTGACTTTGTCCCAGTGTCTCTCTAGCATAAAACTAGAGAGTAAAACTGATATGAATCATTGATGAAAGGGACAGTATGTTATATCCCAGTCCGTCAAGAAAACACTTTCTTTAAAGGGTGTAATCTTTGAAATGATCATTTTATTATGTCTGGTCTATGTGGACACTCTTGGCATTCACTGTCTGTTCCCAACATTTGACCCATTGGAGTGCCATGATGTTCCACTGATACTGAGTTTTGAGTGAGTCAGAAATTGTACAGCTTACAAAGTGACTGTTGAGTCAGTGATGTTTTCCAGAACCCTTATTATACCTTATTTGTCATGCTACACTGAGCCTGAGCTTTGGCTTTGCTATTAAAAACCTTAGACTGGACATCGGAAAAGGAAAGGATACAACTTGTGTTACGTGTGGGTATTTTACAAACTGAAGGTTGAGCTTGACATTCTTACTTCCCTTTGAGTGACCTACCTTCAAGAGAAGTGGCAACATGACATGATAACAGTTGGACTCCATGCTGTCACTGAGGTAGTTCATACTCTAACATTTCTTGGGTCTGCAGAAGGATACTTGACGTTTGACCAACTTGTGCCAAGAAAACAAATCCTTGTTGGCTGATGAAGAAAAAACAAGGTTTATTGTGCTACATGAAAAACTCATTTCCATGTCTGAAAACGTGGAGTTTTGATACTTATTTGAAAGTCTTGAGCCTTGCCACGAGCACAGGCTGCCAACAGAAAGGTCTAACCTACATCTGTACAAGAAGTCAACGAGTTTGTGCAAAATGCATCTGCAACTCTTCCAAGCTGCAGAGCAGGAGGGCTGTAGAAGAGGTCTGGATTACACGAGATAATTCTTCCAGAAAAGACGGTCCAACTGCAGCACAGTAGGCTGTGCTCTGGATTAAGAGTTTAAGGAATCTAAGCAGAAGTTGGTATGGCTCCTTGAAAAAGGAGGAGTTTCCTTAAAGGAACAAACAAACACCTTTTCACAGCAGATAGTTTGACTTGTCATGCAGTAGAGGGAAAAGCACAGGTGAAATTAAAAACATGAATTACATCATAGCACTTTGTCTTGCCATTATGGATGTAGTTCCCGGTGCAGTTAGCCATGTTGGCTATTCCAGAGGGCTCCTCTCCCTGTCGCTTTTCGGTCGGACTCGGACAAGCGTTTGAAGTGATTTATATAATAACCACGTTTATGTGGAAAGCTGTTGGAGGGTTGTGCAGCTTGCCCCGATATACATTGTTATGCACCAGTCCTAGTTTCCCCAAATCTCTACAACGGAGGGGGTGAGTACACAGTTAGCAAAAAAAAAAAGGTCAAATCACCAATTAATGTTGGTGAGGTTAGCGGGGGAAGTAGGAGCATTGTTTCAAACTGTGGCTCTATGCATTTCTCTTTTATTCAGATGATGCCTTCTGCAGGATCAACAATCATAGTAAGACACGGTACATAGGTCACACCACTGATAAGCATGCTCCACCACTGGGTGGCCTTCAGGGAATCAAAACCTCAAACAAACAGTGACACAAGCTTCAGCCAATGAAATCTTACCATATAGAGATTTCAATTTTATAGCCAAGTTTTTGGTTATGTATTCAAAAATGTGAAATGCACAAATATTTATTAGATTTCTAATAGATATATATAGGAAAAGTTAAACATCAGCTCATGATGAAAAGCATAACATCCAATAGATAGAGGTACATTCCACTGCATCATGAGGTGAAGGGTCCAGTGTGTTCCCCTCTGGAAGTCCTGCCTTCTCAATCCCAATACATCTGAAAAGGAAATAGAATCATTTATTCATTTAATTCAACAAGATGTGCTGCTACTGGATAATTCATGTTGATAAGGTAAACAACTGACTTAGTGTGACATGAAGTGATTCCTTTTATAGGATCTCCTTTTGTGTGTGGGGATGTTTGAAACTGTTCTACCCAGAACTATAACTACAGTGGCTGCAGCAACAACAGCACCGGTTGCGCTTTAGGGAGAGGTGCTGAAGCAGCTTGAGCTGTACTGATTGAAAAGAAGGTTAAATATGAGTGGTCTCTCAGGTTTTTACCTTTTTATATAAAAACGAGCGGTCGTTCTTCAGTACGTTGTGGTCCGCTGTCCCGTCTGTCTATGTGCTGGAAATTGTATCCAGTGTTCATAGCCCTGGCTCTGTATTACACTGGAATGGGCTGTAGCCTACCATTGTCATTTGTTACATTCAAAGCTATTATAAAGGTTTTGGAATGAGAAGCTTTTATTGAAGTATGTCTATGAAGCTTCTGATGTGTGTTAATGCATGTGTGCCTCCTTTTATATATGCGGCAAGTGTCCGCGGGAGAGCAAACCATTTTTTCAGCGAGGAGAAAATATTTTTTGAAAGACTACACTACTACTTCTTTTGAATATGTGGCTCTGAATTCCACTTGAGCTTTATTCCTAAACATTTACAGACCACCTAAATACTGTGCAACCTTCTCTGATGAGTTTACTGAACTGCTGTCTATAATCTGTATTGATTTTGACTGTGTTGTTATTGTTGGTGATTTTAATATCCATGTTGATAATCCCCAGGACAGAGGGTCTATAGAACTATGTGGTGTCCTTGATAACTATGATCTGACTCAGCATGTGACAGGACCCACCCACAACAGGGGGCACACTCTGGACCTAATCATCACCAAAGGTGTAAACATTTCCAAGGTCGCTGTGACTGATGTTGCACTCTCTGATCATTTCTGTGTTTTCTTTGAGAGTGCAATCTCCTTGCACACAGATGTCCAAACCAAGGTTGTGACAAAGCGTTACATCTCTGAAAACACCAGTGAACTATTTATTCAGAAGTTCTGCTCCACACCAGCCCTCTCTTGCATCTCAGCCAATGAGCTTGTAGATGGCTTTAATTCTAAAGTTAAAAATATTATTGATGCCATTGCACCCACTAAAGTGAAGGTTGTCTCGGGTAAGCAAAGATCTCCTTGGAGAAATGCTACGCTGGTCCAGATAGAGAAACGAGAGTCGGAAAGCTGAGCGCAGGTGGTGAAAAACTAATCTCCAGGTTCACTGTGACATCTATAAAGAGAGACTTCGCAATTATAATTTGGAACTTAGAAATGCAAGCCAGTCCTTCTTCTCTGACATCATAACCAAAAACAATAACAATACACGCGCCTTATTTGCTACCGTCGACAGGCTAACAAACCCTCCAGTGTCGGTAGCTGCTGAGCTCCAATCCACCTGGGCATGCAATCAATTTGCCTCCTTTTTCACTGACAGAATTCAGTGAATTAGACAAGCAAGTCAGTGCCTCCACACAAACCACAGGACATGTGTTGTCCCCATCTCTGAATAACATCCATTCAAATATCATGACACAATTTCATTCAATCGACCGTAGAAGCCTGGAAGACATTATACAACATCTGAAGTCATCCTCCTGCTGCTTGGATATTCTACCAACACACTTTTTCAAAAATATTTCTAACTGCATGACCACTGATCTTTTACAAATTGTAAACACATCCCTTCTCTCAGGTGTCTTCCCACAAGCCCTAAAAACTGCAGTTATTAAACCGCTCCTAAAGAAGGCTAATTTAGACTCCGCAACAATGAACAACGATAGGCCAATATCAAACCTCCCATTTTTAAGTAAAATAATTGAAAAAGCGTTTTGTTTTTTTCAACATCTGAACAACTTCTTGGCCGTAAATAACTGTTTGGATGTCTTCCAGTCAGGCTTTCAACAGCACCACAGTACTGAAACTGCTCTTGTTAAGGTTTTCAACGACATCCACTTAAACACAGACAATGGCAGAAGTTCAGTCTTAGTATTACTGGATCTCAGTGCTGCATTCGACACGGTCGACCATGCCATACTACTAGAAAGACTAAAAATCTGGGTGGGACTCTCTGGCACAGCACTTAACTGGTTTGAATCCTACTGGAAGGACCGAGAATACTTTGTGTCTGTAGCTAATTACACATCAGAGCTGACTAAAATGACATGTGGTGTTCCCCAAGGTTCAATACGGGGGCCTCTTCTGTTCAACATCTACATGCTTCCACTAGCTCAGATTATGGAAAACAACAAAGTGTGTTATCATAATTATGCAGACGACACACAAATCTACATAACTATGTCACCAGGGGACTATAATCCCATACAAGGGCTGGGTAACTGCATTGAACAAATCAACAACTGGATGTGCCAGAATCTTCTTCAATTAAACAAAGATAAAACAGAAGTAATTGTTTTTGGTACCAAGGACGAACGATAGAAAATCACTGCTCAGCTTCAATCACTGATGTTAAAACCCACAAACCTAGCCAGAAATCTAGGTGTAGTTATGGATTCAGACCTCAACCTGAACAGCCATATCAAGACAATTACAAAATCAGCCTACTATCACCTGAAGAATATATCAAGGATTAGAGGACTTATGTCTCAACAGGATTTGGAAAAACTTCTCCATTCATTTATCTTCAGTAGACTGGACTACTGTAACGGTGTGTTTACAGGTCTCTGTAAAAAGTCAATCAGAAAGCTGCAGCTGATTCAGAACGCTGCAGCTCAAGTCCTCACTAAGACCAGGAGGGTGGATCACATCACTCCAGTTCTGAGGTCTTTGCACTGGCTTCCTGTCAAACAAAGAATTGACTTTAAAATCCTGCTGTTGGTTTATAAAGCACTGAATGGTTTAGGGCCAAAATACATCTCTGATCTGCTGCTACGTTATGAACCATCCCGACCCCTTAGGTCGTCTGGGACCAGTCTAATTTCTGTTCCCAGAGTCGGAACTAAACATGGAGAAGCAGCGTTCGGTTGTTCTGCTCCACATACCTGGAACAAAGTCCAGAAAGCTGCAGGTCTGCTGAGACCCTCAGCTCCTTTAAATCAAGATTGAAGACTTTTCTGTTTGCTGCTGCCTTTAATTCAACCAGATTCAATTAATATATTAATCAATTTCCTGCATTTCTGCATTTTACTACTGTATTTTATTTCTCACACTGCTTTTTAGTGTTTTAATAACTGTTTTTAATGTTTCAATGAATGTTCTTAATTGTTTTTAAATCTCCTTTTCTTTTGCCTTATGTTCTGATGCTTTTAATGGTTTTATGTGAAGCACTTTGAATTACCTTGTTGTTGAAATGTGCTATACAAATAAACTTGCCTTGCCTTGCAACAACAAATATGGATATTTTGTTTGACAAAAAAGGTGTGAATTCTGGAAATGATTCCATCTATCTTTTTTTAATAGATTTTGACTGACGCAACAGTGTGCCTGCTTGTTATTGGGTTAGAATATAGGTGAATATTTGCCATATACTACACAACCTTGAGTTGTGTTTCAAAGCCTCTTCACAGGCAACTTGTGACTCCTCCACATGCTTTACCGTGGCTAGGCTCCGGTAGACGACCCTTCGAAGCTTCCATGTGGCTGTGGCTACTTTTGTGATCATTCAGTGCCGATTTCTCCCTCGGACAAATCCGCTACTCATGTCAGCCTTTTTACAGATGTCGTAGAAGATTTTTCCACCTTCCTTCCTCAGCCATGTGAACTCCTGCTCCCACTTAACTAGGTACTCCCTTCTGCTGCCACTTGCATGCGACGTAACATCGGCCAACACTGGCTGATGAACATTAGCAATGTTACTTACTTGTCCTTCAGCTTCCTAGGCATCAATCCCTCTTTTTGCACCCCGTTCATCAACACCTTCATTACTGCACTTTTTAAAGGAACTCCAGATACTGCCGTGACATTTTGCAATGTAGCTAGTCTACCAATGCTAAAGCCAGCTAGACGACGACGTAATGCACCTACGGTCAAAGACCAGAACAATAGCTAATTAATATGCACATGCCACCAACTGGACCGGGCTGTGAATTAAACTCTCAGTGTTAAATGGCGGACGGCCTTCAGATTTCTCCGTCATTGTTAAAAGAAAACGGCCAAAGACGGAAAATATTCGGTTAACGCGACCTCTGCCAATGCTTTATTATTACCTTCATCTGTTCTGCACAAGTCGAATCCTCTATGAAATATGTCTGTGTGTGTAAATATTACACGGCCATTTGATTATGTTTTAAGAGATCATCTGTTTTTTATTTCAGTATCAGGACAGATTTATTGTATCCTCCTAGTTAAAAATCCTTTTCCCTCATGTTCCTGTCAAAATTCTCAATCCTCACAATACGTTTTAATCTGCAGAACTTTGATGTGATCAGAGTCTGCCCGTAGTCAAGTATTTCTAGCAGTAGGTTTTCTGAACAGATCCATGTACAAGTGGCCATTCTCTAATAAGCCATATCTAGTAAACACTTGCATTTGTATTTATAGCAGAATTTAGAGGTTAAAGGAATAAGATGCTCTAAACTACATCAATACTACCGCACAGACGTCACCATGTGTGTGTATATATATATAAATGAAATAGAGGCATAGATACATTTACAAAGGTGTAAGTTATTGCTTGCTTGGCCCACAAATATAACTCTTTAGGAAGTTCTGCTCCAGCTGGCTAAGAGGACTTTCTGTTTCTGTCTTTTTATTGGATGGGGCTAGAGATTGCTGAAGTCGTTCCCAGCTGAGACATTTGTTATGTTTTAATGGTGCTGTCTGATTTAATGAATCACTAGTTTGAAACTAACAAATAGTCATGTTGAATTTAGAATTCAGGGTGGACTCAACACACACATGGACGCGTTCCCCTTCAGGTAAACACTGTTAGCTCTGTCAGCACTTTTGCGATAGCTTGAACTGTCAGTGCTGTTAGCACCGTTAGCTGCACGCCACCTTTAAACTGGAACAGATAAAAGGCTGGTCTGAGGCAGGAGAATGCATATTTCTCTGTCATTAGATATTCTAGTTTATAGTTTTAATGGATGGCTGTACTACTGGCGCACACTGGATGTCCATATAATTTGCTTATAAATATGTATTTAAGGTCCAGGAAGGATACAGAGAGAAGTGTGTGTGTGGTTTTAGAAGTATCATCTTTGAGATTGACTCCAGAAATAGGTGTTTGACAGCATGCTGTACATGCTGTGATCCTCCCTCTATGACTTCAAGTGTTCATGAGTCAATTATGGAGCTCTCTCATGAAAGCCTGTAATGATTTTTATTGACTTTGCTCTTCTCTCCGTTTATGGCGATGTATTGTCTTCTCATTCTCCAGTCAAGAGGAACAGTGTTTGTTGTTGTTGATGTTCCACTAATGCTTTATCTGTTGAACCTGCCCTCAGACAATGTGGCTGGATCCAAATAAGAAGTTAGTGTTGAGCACACTCTGGAGAGGATGAAAGCAGCCATTCTGCTCTGCTCCGTGCAGCAACGAGTCTGACGCTTCTAGACTCTTTTAATTGCTTTAAATCCTTTTCATCTGTTTTCGCTTTCCTCTTCCTCCCCAACCTTCTTCACACTCCCTTTGTCTCTCAGACATTTTTCCTCTAATTGGACAATTACTCTGTATTCCTTTTTTTAAAGTGCGTATCTGGTTAAGCATGAATTGTTTGGAATATTATTTAAATACGGTGCAGGGACCTTAAACAGTGAGCTCATGCTGTAGTCTTTACTGCTCAGAGGCTTCTCTGAAGCTATGAATAGTGCACAGCTTACATTTAATGGCCATACAAAACGGCACTGCTATCTCCATACGACTAATGGTAATTAGTTGTAAAGATACACAAATCATTTTGGCACAAGGCTGCAACATTTCAAACTGTGAAAAAGTAAAGGGGTCTGTATAGGTCAGTGAAATCCTAGTGTAACTTTTGTAATGCTTTTTATTCAATTGTTTGATTGCCATCTAAGCTGTGCAGTCACCATGGTTAGAGGTCAATCCGCTCTCTGGCGAGGTTAGTGGAGAAGACGCTGTTTACTTTTTTCGAGAAGCCTAAATGCAACCTTAACATTAAATCCACATCCGCACCACTTGACAATAGTTTCTATAGTTTACTTTTGTATAAATGTTAGTGTGGTTTTGTTGCTGCTTCTTGTCTAATTCTCAGTGGATTGTAACTTTACTGACAGAGACATACTGTCGCTGAATGTCGTGCACTACAGTGTGTGATTCAACAGATGCATGCATGTTGTTGAACAAGACTTTGCATTAAAGAAGCAAGCAGTTCATTTGTCCATTCTTCAGTCTTTCACATTGTACTTTATTGTAAAAAGTTATACATTTTGTCATAGTTCTTGTTTGTAAAGGTTACTTTTTCTCATAAATGGGTCTTAGTTGTCAATAATCTTTCCCTTTGAAATGTAGTGGAGTAGTCTAAAGTCTAAGTCTAAAGCAGCATAAAACCAAAAGACTCCCACCAGTATTTAAAAGATCAGATGTGCCTCTGGCTGTGGAGATCACAACAATGATGACATCAAAGTGTGAACATGTTGTGTTTTGTTTTCCAGTGGGGACTGAACATGGTCAGGCAGCCATTGAAAGTGCTGCTGTCTTTCTGTTTGAGACCTTCCACAACAAAGACCATGTGGGCACAGAGGAGACCCGAGCCATCAAACAGATGTTCGGCCCCTTCCCGTCATCTGCAGCCGAAGCCTCCTGTGCCTGTGTGGCTCGGCTGGTGGCTCCACTCGGAGACTCCCGAGTTGAGAACTTCATCCAGACCCTGTGCTCCCGTCACAACCCCCAACGAAGCTCTGCTTTCGGACGCAACATCGCCTTTTCGCATGACTGCTACGCATTGGACCCTCTGGAGGACCTGCCCTGCTCTGGCATCCACGAGGAGAACACAAGTCTAGACTTCATCAACTTCCTCAACAGCCAGCAGAGCGAGAGAAAGGCGAGTGAGGAAGAGGGGTCCAGCTCAGGAAGAGCTCTGAGCTCTGGGGATGGAGCCGTCCTTAGAACGGAGGTGGAGAAGTATCTGGATGGAGGCAACATGATCTCGTCCAGCCCAGAGGAGCTGTGCACCTCCCTGTTTGAAATGCTGGCCTCCCACAAGAGCGACGATGAGCTGCAGAACGAGGTTTGTGTCACTGGGAAATACAATCTGACATATACAGTATATATCAGTGGCGGGCCGTGCATTTTCTACCTGGGCCTTCACTGCTGTCCTGCAGTTGAACCACCTAACCTCATTATGACGCCACAGCTACGGTTATTATTTGTTTGGTGTAAAAATGAAGCTCAACACCTATAAATACACTAAATGCAGAGTGCAGATAACGTTACATGATTACACGCACGGGATGCTGCGTCATTAACGGACAATGCATTAAAAAAACTGCGGAGCTAAAACACGTATTCCACCGCACACTGAAGAGCACGGGCCATTCAAATATTATTCACATCAGAGGGAACAATATTAGCCGTATCATAAAAACGACACCATAGACACATGAACACAGTAGTAACGCTATCACTCCCTCCAGGAAATACACAACACCTGAGCTCTTGTTAGTGACGGATTTATTCGTCTGTCAACACCGAGGGAAAATGAGTCCACTTAAAAACACATGAATCTTCAAAGACGATCACTTAAACACTTTAACTTTAACACTTTAACTTAAACACTTTAACACTTTAACTTAAACACTTTAACACTTTAACTTAAACACTTTAACACTTTAACTTAAACACTTTAACTTAAACACTTTAACTTAAACACTTTAACTTTAACACTTTAACTTAAACACTTTAACTTAAACACTTTAACTTAAACACTTTAACTTAAACACTTTAACTTAAACACTTTAACTTAAACACTTTAACTTAAACACTTTAACACTTTAACTTAAACACTTTAACACTTTAACTTTAACACTTTAACTTAAACACTTTAACTTAAACACTTTAACTTTAACTTTAACACTTTAACACTTTAAATTTAACACTTTAAATTTAACACTTTAACTTCAACACTTTAACACTTTAACTTAAACACTACGTGTCTTCATGTTACTGTGCACCGACTAAATATGTCCCCAGAGCAACATAGGACGTAACAATAGTTCCTATCACATATAAAACCAAACAAAAATTCATCTTCATAAAAACAAGTTGTACAAATAATAATATATAAACAAGCATATTAAAGCTACTGCAGATGTAAAAATAAACGTATTTAACTTACCAGAGCTGCTGTTCACTATTTAAAGACAAAGTGCATCCTCCTTTCTTTGTTAATAAAGAGTTTAATCTCACGGTTGTTCAGTACATCCGTGTGTTTTAGTTCCAGTCAGAAGTCCTTCTCCATTCATGGACGCCAGTGAAGACAGTCGAGCCTCCCCAGTTGTATTTCTTGAATACGTTTTAATGTGTTTGAGGCTGAAAATGTCCGCTCGACAGAGGCAGCAGATATTGGGATTGTCACCGCCCAACATGTCAGGCTAGCTCACTGACCAATCACGTACTTGTAGGCCAGCTAGCAGGCTCTGACACGTCAAAGAATACGCCCAACATGTCAAACTAAAGATCTGATTGGTTGAACACTATGACAATCAACATATGTGTATATATATATATGTGTGTATATATATATATGTGTGTGTATATATATATATATGTGTGTGTGTGTGTATATATATATATATGTGTGTGTGTGTGTATATATATATATATATATATATAT